AAACGTATTCCTGTTCACTTCAATGTTATGAAATATTTTTTGTAGGAATTTTAGAAATTGTCCTAAACTGAATCCCGAGAAAGATTAACCGTGAGTGTTAAGTGCTAATAAATATATGTACGAATCACGTTAGAAGTTTCGTTTGATCAGTCATGTTCTTTTTTTTAAAGCAAATATACGACAATGAAACATAGCTGAGTAATGAATACTTGTTCGTCACACGAGAAGCATTTTCCATCCCCTGGTTAAATCTAAACCTGTGACCTGTCACGTTTACGTACGTTTCCATGCCACGGACTCTCCTTCCTCACGTCACGAAAAAAATACCACCATTTGCAAACTTTATTTGACATACAAGACACACTCGTGCACTCGTGAATATATGATTCTCGTTGAAATACTTGTCACTTATATATACGTCCTCTATCATTTTCTGTGACCACATTTAATTAATTGTAGAAAACAATTACTCAGTTAATTGCAACTCATTTCGTGCAATCTTTTTAATGTTAAATTTCATCGAGAATAGCCTCGAGAGAACCAATTCTTTGATATCAGAAGTAATAACTGGATCGATGGTTTAGGAAACTCAATTATTAAAACACCAGTTACGCTAGGGGAAGATTCGGTCCAGCAATCTGATTGTCCTATTCCTTTTATGATGGATGACTTTCGGACAATGAATTCATCTCCTCGGCCTTTAATCTTCAATTTTAAATTTTAAATTGATCTTTTATTTTAGCGTAGGAGGTTGGATATCTATCTCTATATTTTTCATGAATATTTTTTTCTAGCCCGTCTCGAAATTTCTTTCTGTTCTTCAAATGTTTTACTCAATTTTATGTGCATCAAAATGGAAGCCAATAAATAGAGAATTTGCGAACATTAACCAATATAATAATTACGTTTATCACATTTTCCTATTAATGAATTGTCAATAATATATCATGTAATGAAAAATTTTCTATAAACGATCAAAGTAGAGCTGTTACTTCTGACATCTTTGCCACGATTATCTTTTATGATATTCTTTGTCCGGAAATGTTCATAAATTCAACTCTATCGCGAGTTCTTCTCTCCTATTGTAAATACTTATTGATACATTTGATAAAAACTCCTAGTGATGCTTCTTAATTAATTTTTCCACCTAAGTAAAATTTTCAAATTCATCCGCAGGATTTTCTTTTATTCGTGAAAAATCATATCAGCGATTTTAATATTTTTTATCGAGGGAAATGAATAAATCTTTCTTTCCGATCGCAGATCACTTTTGTCTTCGTTAACTTCTCTCCGTACCATTTCATATAAGGAGATCGTAGTCCCGACACGCAAGTTCTTCATCAATCATCGGATACGAAACCGATAAATTCTTCTTTGTGGTGTTGCATAAAACACATTACGCAGGAGGCTCAAGATCGTTCCGCGTGACAAATCGTTGCATCGTTTACGAAATACGGAATGCGTGGGGTCGCTTATTTTTCCCAGCGCGATTCTTCTCTCGAGTCATAAATATTTTCCAGGCGTAAAATACATCTTTCATTCAGCCTTTATGTATACGATATTATATGTTGTCCATTAACACCTGATCATCCAAACAGCATTTTGTTTCCTTATTCGCGCGAGAGATATACGACAGTTTTCGAAAGTACTTCAAATTCTTTAGCCAATAAATCCTTCGGCTTTCATAACTCGAGCAGTAAATTATAAAATACAAATTCGCTGATAAACCATACTAAGCCCGCGAACATTACGCAACGAGAGTTCCAACGCATCGTTGAACTAATGTTCTGCATCTTTTCATTACTTTGAACGGTGCATTTTATTATTCCTGCTTTTTATTTATTACTAATAATGTCGAGCAATACACGGTGGGATTACAGTTCAACTCGTAATCTCTTATATTCGGAATAGATGATATATTAAGGCGAGAATATTACTGTTATTACGATTAACATACCGTTGTACGTACAATGTGCTATTACTTTTAACGTTCGAGGAGAGCCTGTTAACGGGCATCATCGTTTTACCAACGACCGCGTTTGAAATATGAAAACACCGGAGCGTGTTTACAGAATGCTTACGCTCAATTTTGAGAACGTGAGTTTCTAAAAAAAAAAAAAAAGAGAGATGATCGTACGTATCGTTGTAGACGAGTAATCGCAATATATCAGAATACGAAAATAGAAGCAGTGGAGAAACGTGACTGAAGTTGCGATCCGCAAGAAAATTTTCTTCCAAGGCTCCTTTCAAACGGAATATTTAAATATTCTCATTATAATGGAGGAAAATTCGTTATTACGGCCTCTCGTGCATTTATTGTTTCAATGCAAAGCCTTGTGAAGGAACGTATTAACTTACAAATCTTTCTTTCCCGTTTCCAATGCGGACGACCCTAAACGCGGAAACTTGAGAAACGGATGAACTTTTCAAAGTTTAATCAATGCTTAGAGGATCTTTCGTAAAGAGTGCGGGAAGAGTGATGAAAAAGAAAAGAAATAAGTTACAAGGAAGAACAATGAACGGGGTGGGTAACAAAGGATCGATGTTTCCTTGCCTCGAACAAATGAGATTTTCAAATTTCCACGATACAGAAGTAACTTCATTATTCTCTGATGCTGCTTCGCTGAATTTTATCGGTGTAATTAATTAGACCGTTTTACGCGAACTTCTACAAAACAATTTCCGCGAAAATTTCATTCGGAACTTGTACTTAACAACGCAGAACAACACAACGAAAGCAATTCGCTTTGGTTCTCTTCAGCCGCGAGACACGACAATTACATTCGAATTATTCTGTTGTTGCGAATCGTAATTCATCGTTTGACAAATTCTCTGCCCATTTTTTACTCGACAACTTGCTTCTTCCCATAAAGATACATAATTTCCCCGTTTGGAGAATAAATAAATCTTTAAGGTCGCAGATGGAATATATCACGTCCTACTACGATCTACCTACTATATCTTGCTACATCTCAAAAAAATATATTACATTCGCTTCATATATATCGTTATCACGTCCCTTTTTTTAGAGGTCTGTATTCCGACGAATAAAAAGTTCTTTCGTTTTACTTATCGATACATCTTGCTCTCCAACCTGTTACGACCCCATAAAAGTTACTTCGTGTTGAATTACATTTCGTCATACGTACTCGTTTCTTCTCTATCCGTGTGTGACTTTTACCTCGTTAAACCGCTCCTAGAACCGTTTAATCTATCCCCTCTTGTTTTATCGCGATTCAGCCCCGTGCTGCTTTACACCCCTTCTATTCGTGTTATGTAATAACAGTATTTTTCAAGTCTTCTTCCGCCTTCCCTCTGGTCTATCAAGAAAACAAAATGAAACACGAGTTTCATTTACCTCTTACAAGCGAAAAATTATCGTGAGATCTTCGCACGAAGGTTAAAAAAAAAAAAAAAAAAAAAACGTCTTCGCACGTTCCTAATGTTTTGCAGAAAATAACACACAATTTTAATTTCTCCCGACGCGACGAAATTTTAATTTCACCCCTCGGCCTACCAAATCAAATGTTAACTACCTGCTTCGACTTTTCGTCGCCTTTTTTCTCACGCTCTCGTTGCCATTATCGTCGCGTGCATGCGAGCAAATAAATTACATGCTTCCAGGGCTATTTTCGCCCTTTTCAATGGTGCCGCACGAAGAAAGACATATTGTGTTTCGTTGCATATGTGGCATGCGTGCTTTATCTATTCGTGGCTCCACTTAATAAACTCCGCCCTTTTTCGAACCTGTTAAAGCGCATTAACCTCGAAGATAATCTCATTTTTATCGTAAGGGTATACGTGATTATGTTAATTCAAAATCTACATACTCGCGATAAACTGTTTTCAATTTGATGATATCTAATTAAACAACGTTATCATTGAAAGTGATTCAATTTCATTTTGTGTTTCTTTAGTCTATCCTTTACGAAGATAGCTTTTTTTAAAGTAGCTACTTTTTGGAGATAGGTTAACATAAATCACAAATTGAATTAAAATGTACTTGGGTAGATCCCAATCAAACGAAAAAAATGGAGTATATAATTAATAAATTTATGCAATATAATAAATGAATGAATGAAAATGATATATTATTAGAATATTATAAATATCAGATGCTAAAATTCCATATTGATTGATCCAATAAATAATTATCTGTTTTATTGTAACATATCGATTCGTCTAAGTTTTGCCTCCACATCATTTTCTACCGACAGATTAATTTACCACCTATTGCTTACTATCCCGGCGCTAAATTAAATGCAACCAGTTGACAAAAATGTGGAATCAAAGAACTGTAAAGTAATGCGCAGTTTACGTAAAACTGTGAAATAATTTACGATATATAAATATACTGTGCAACGCGAATGAAGTAAACACGTTTCAACCTTTGGTTATATTTATCTACGTTTCATCTCGAGTACAGGCGAGTATAAACAATGTTCCATATGGTCGATAATTATTATGTTATTAACAGCCCCGTCTTCCCAATTCCAAGAATCTAAAGGTTACTTCGATTCAAAACAAGGTACTGCAAACAAAACGCGTCGAGACACGTTCGCTCCAATATAACTCGACCAAAGAATTGTACACGTTCGTATATAACTATAAGTTTCCATCGATCAGTTTAGCCAATTAAAACAATAGAAGCGTGACGTCGCGTCGTTGAATTTGTGGAAAATTGCACGGCAACGGGAACACCCAGAAGAAACGTACGCGTGGCAGATCAATGGAAATTAATGTTCGCCGAAAGTAACGCGCTCGGAATGTGTCACGAGGTGGCAGCCGCGTGAAACGAAGGATCGACGGTCGAAGTGTGCGCGAGAAAGAGCAAAGGGGGAGCTGTTGGCAGAATTCGCGGGCAAGGGATACCAACCGATCGCGGCGAAAGGGGGGATACTTGTCGAAATACTGATCTAGCACAGTTTATTTTACCAGGCGAAGTTTCTCGCGTGCCAACGCTAGAAACTTCGCCGGCAGGGAGTACATTGAACTCTTACCTTAGCGTCCCTCTGCATCGAGTCAACTGCCAGTCACGTTCATCGGTCGGCGGTACGGCGTTTCTCCTGATGCATGTCCGCTTACACGGTGGCCGCGACGATCAAATTCGCGCCGTGGACAAGCCCCGCTCGGTACCACACTTCCGTTGTCACCCCGCGACTCGTCCTCGATTGGAACACGCGGCAAAATCGAGCCGACTACGAACCGACCGGAACGCTTCGTGCTCACATGGAAATCAACTCACAACACTGTTCGCCGGCTTTCCACTGGACCCGGTGTATCTCCATTGAGAAGAACGGCCTCCCTCCCCGGCGTGCGAACGTTGCACGGAACTGACGACGATTTGGCGCGCGCGGACTGCGTTTCACGCGAATGCGAATTACCGGTAAGAAAACACCGTAGCAGAGAAACAGTGACGCGAACGGTGGAGGGAGAAAACGAGAAAAGGGCGCGCATGTACTAGCGCACCAGCCGGCCGACAGGACACACCACGACAGACTGAAAACGAGGGTAGAAAACGTGGTTGCCGTCGCGACGCCCTCGTGCGTACTCGGCCGACATCGGCACGTTCCGCTTACCGCCGTCTCGCTCGGTGTTCAGGGCCGTCGCACTCTTCGTCGGCGCCATTCGGGTCACGTGGTCGCGATCAGGGGTGAACGACGTGGCGCGCCACGATCTCTTTTCAATGTTCGCTGTCCGCATATACTTGGTTTTTACCACGGTAAAAAGGGGAATAGTCGAAAGAGACGAATAACCGTGATATACGAGCAACTGCAGTGGAACATCGCGTGAATATATGCATACACAGGTATTCCTTCACGTTTTTACTACGTTACATGATCCCATAAATGCGTAGCTTACACTTTACACTTACACACGCAGTCGTCGTTCGAACTGTCGAAGTTTTGATTTCGCGCGGTTTTAGGGAGATCATTGGTGGCACTGTAAGCTACGTATTTTCGTTCGAATTAGGAAATGTACAGTTAAGTCAATGATTCGCGTTAGATATGATAATATGACTGTGTTGTGAGAATAATTATTATAGTAAGGAGGTTAACTAGGTTAAGTACACGTTATCGAATATCAAATATTCGTTACAGACTATTGACTTGTCGTAGAAATATCTACGTCGATAAATTATCGATAAATTTATATACGTTATTATCGGTAAAGTTGTAAACCTACCATTATACAAATGGCGCGCAAATGTTTGAATACAATATATAAGTTCGCGTTTCTTTATCCTCTTTTTTAATGAAAATGAATTAACACGCGCATGTTTCTGATGCATAGCTTGTAAAATATTAAGAGTCAGAGAATATTAATTAACATTAGAAGTTAATATCGATGAAAACGTCGATACTATCGATGAAAATATCGATATCATTCGATAAAATGATTCCGGTGAAATATTTCTACGTCATTGTTATAAATTACTCGCATAGATAATACTGCATCATGAAACAGGATCTTCTCGAAGATTTCCCGATAGACTGTGACGTTATCTTTCGAAGACGATGCTTCAGGGAAACGAGTTTTTCCGGAACTCCGAAGCAACATAAACTCGAATCCATTCATCTCTAAAGACTTCAAATACCAGATGCAGTTGGTAATGTACCTCAACTTATATTTTTTTATATATTCTTGGGAGAATAATTCAAATTCTCGTAAACCTTCTCGTGGTTTAATTTGATTGAACTCATGTTATATAATATATGAGCTATTTGCTAGAAAGCTATGCACTCATGAATAATAGATCTGGTGAGGATAAGTTAACAAGAAAAAGAAGAAAGCAGAAAGCGAAATTTTTTTTAATTAATTATAAAATTATCACCTTTCACACTGTCTCCTAAATTCTTTGTTGAAATACGGCAATGCGTTAAACAATTAATGGTAAAAATGGTAAAAAAAACTCGTAGAGGCGGTTTTCTAGAAGATTGAAACTAATCGTTTATGGTGGCCACGTCTTTCCCGTTGTAAAAAAAGAATGAAGCATCATCTCGAAGGAAGCTTTTACCTTCTAAATCGTGTCGAGTTTCATTGAAATACCAACATTCTCGTCAAAGAGCTCTTGTAAAAAGCACTCAAAGCGTTGTCGATGAAATTGCTTGTAAACAAATTATAAATTGCTATTTCATTGAATACGAACACATCAACATACGATTGGCTGCAGTTAAAGTTTTTATTATCCCAGAAATAATTTCCATAGTGATTAAAAACTTTATCCAATTATTGTCTTTATAAAGAAGAAAGTATTGCACTTTTAACTGCTTGAATATTAACTCCAATAATTGGTACGTGGTAACGTGAGGTAAAAAGAAAAATCCCAAGATATAATCATGGCTGTAAAGTAAGATCATGCAACAGCTATGAAACAAGAAAAAAGCAAGGCGAAACTGTGTCATATATTCAAATCAACTTTTTTACACATTTACGATAATCAATGGAAAAAACCCCACTTTTTCATTAAACCTTATTACAAAAGTATAATTAATCTAATTATCAGGTTCGTTACTATATTTAGCACGTTTCTTATGAGAAAATCATGTCGTTGATTAGGAAATTTACTCCTTATTGGATCTCGTAACTTTATCGATATCAAGAAACACGATCCTCAAGCGTGTCGTTCATAGAACTACTACGAAACTTAGTACGACCTCGTTTATAGTCTGTGTATGCACTCCTTTCGTGACAAGGTGGTTCACGCGGACGAATGCTCGGAAATTTGTCTTGCGACAGAAACTTTTTCAGGACGCAAGTTTCGTCGTAAGCCGGATGTTAGGTTTCGTACAGAGGGATGCTTGCTTACTAGACTGTCACAGTTCTTGCAAGTTCTATCTGTGACGACCAACTGTCACACAGTCTGTTGCCGACTGTTCAAAGTAGTTATATACAGCATCGCCGTGAGAATACAAACTCAAAAGTATACACACTAATTAGACGAAAAATTAGAAAAATTAGATTCTTTAGAAGGTATAAGCATTAAAAGTAAAAGCGACATTAAAACGATATAAAGTTACCAATTCTTAGTTAAAGTGTCCTATCTAGTATCTTTTTTCATTTTATAAGATATATCTACATTTATCAAGATATAAATTTCAAGTTCTTCGCGTTTAACTATTTTACTTTCAAGTGAATGAAAAAAAAAAAAAGAAAAGAAAAAAATAGGAATAGCACGAAAAGATAGTTCGAGAATTTTAGTTTTCTCGAATGTTTTAAAGATAGAGCACATCTGGATTTAATCATATATTAAAATTCAAGGTTAAAGTAGCCACAGAAATCTGGATTTGACGTAGGAAAAATAAATTCTTGTACTTTTGTACAATTAATGTGGCTCGTATAAATAAATTAATACTACAAACTCACATTTAGAGAAACGTAGCCTAATCCACTTTTATTTTCGATGCGATTTCATTTAAAAAGGCGCGTGTATTCTTTAATGTATCTTTTGGCAATAAAGTTTCAGAAATATCGTCGTCAGAAATATTATCTGCTATCATGCCACGTCCATTAACGAACGATGTTGCGAGAAATATTTATTACGGTTTTATACTGAATCTGTATAAGGTTGTCTGGCAGCACGAGGCCAGGTGTTGTAAAGTAAATGCAAAGAGTGGCGCGCGCAGAAGTCCTCGTTCACGTGAAGTAGCACGGAAGAAGGGACGATTTATGGTCATTAAATAATGTAACGAAATTTATTCCGCCGCCTCCGTTCCAGGAACTCGCGGCGTTAAATTTTCGAGGCACGAACGTGTGTCTACGATTGCGATATTAATGGTCGCGGTGTAATAGGGATCCGATAACTGGCTACCGGCCAACAATCGACTCGCCTCTGCTTCATTGCGAAATTCCGCGACCGAAGAAATTGCACGAGGCTCCGTTCCGACGTATGCTGCACGTGCCTGATAGTTTTCATAGTTTTCACGCAAGGAGTACAATAGCAGACACGTGAAAACACGTGCAGAATGTTTCGCTTCTCGCCATTATCACGTTGGAACATTAACGCAGCCGCGTCATTTTCCCTCGGTGTTCTGAAAAATTTAGAAACCTCGTGAAACTTCGTCCTCGTTCCACTGCGTGCAGCGAATAAATTTTTTCTCTAACCATTAACCAGCTACCGAGAAATAACAAAGTTCTTTACTTTCAAAGAATCTTTTGCCTCGTCCTCTTTTTCCTTACAACTATTCTCTCGCGCCTCTTAGTTTTTGATGCAACTGTATCGGAGATAACTCGCTAGGACGTGTGGTTCTCGTAGTCTTCTGAGAACGTATTTAATCGAGACGCATCGCTACGCGCGTTGCATTACAGAAAGTAAATTTCAAAACCTACTCAAATTAAATAGTCTCGTTCGCAACGTTCACGAAAGGGAGGTGAAAATTGGCGAGGAAGATGGGTAACAGAAAATTGCGGAAATCTTGGTCGAGATATGAACGATAGTCCGTATCGTAATAATCCTATCATAAGTCGGTTGGTCGGTAATAGAAGATCTGGGCAGGGTCGTAGATGAAGTTTCGACGTTATCGCGAAACTGTAGCAGAAACTTTTCATCGGGCTGGGTCATTGGCCCGCAATCGAGAGATACTTAGTCGGATAGAGCACGCGATGCATTAAGACCGAATTTAGTCGACGCGGCTTGCGCGATTCGGTGCATGCACTCCCGACTCGTGCATGTGCATTCGCGTGACTCCGCTGGCCTGTAATAAGTGAATTCACGTTTGCTCGGGCCGAAAACTTAGCTGACAAACTCGCCCGCTGTGCTGCACGAGGCCATTCAGCCCGCGAAACTCCCTTGTTTTGAGTCTGTTTAACGGTTTCCCAGAGACCTGCTTTTTCGACGGGCTGCATGCAACGGGCGAATGCGGTCGTGAACTATGGATTCGCCAGCAGGACCGCATGCAGGTTCGCGTGTGTTCACCCCTTTCGCCTGCCAGCGGTCATTGATTCGCCGTCATGTTTATTCCCACTACTTCGTACATTCGATTTAAAGCACTCGATTTTCTGCAGAATGTTTTTTGATAATTTCATTACGGGGAATTTGAGCACATGCATATTAAAATGCATCAGTTCGATAGTGGTTTTCGTGTCGAATTTATTGTACACTGTAGTGCGGAAGAAAAAGAATAATGGCTCTGTTCGTTTATTTTCCTGTATTTTCGTTTAGACAAGGAATATTCATTGACATGGAGGGACGTTCCACGTGGACATACGGCACATCCATTTCGCACATCCGCGCGTCAGTCACATTTGATGGATTCGTCGAATATGTCGAGCAAAAATAGTGGAGTTCAGAACGTGCTCTGATGTTACAAAAATCTATGCAACGAGTGGCGAGAATTGGGAAAGTCTCAATAAATATTTCAACAAAATAGAAATAGAAATTTCTTTCGAACAAGGAAAAATTTTCATACGAAGCTCGTTCACGCATTTCGAGAAAGTTGTACAATGTCCACCGTTCCCGATATGAAAGTCGATAAAACTTTCTGTATATCTACTGTCTAGCTAGACACTTATTTCAAAGTTCACGTGCGAGTATCGTCGCAATATGAGTAACTTTTACCTCTTGCAATTTCTTTCTGAAGAAGATTTCTGTATCCGCTTTCCTTTATGGAATAAAACAAAAAAATGTTTATTTCATTTGAGAACAGCGTACGATATCAGTGTCATTCGTAGTATTTTTGTCTTAGTAAGTTAAACGAGAGATACGTCGGTGTAAATCCAATAGGAATGCAGCCGGGTTTATCTTTTCGCGGGAACGTCACGTTCGTCAGAAAAATCGCGAGTTGCGGCCCGTGTCGCGACGGAGAAGATTAGATTACTTAGAAGCGTCCCCTAGAGTTCAGCCGTAAAGAGGTTTATCATGACGTGAAACAGAACAGATGGAAGATACAAAGGAAACGAAAGCGTTGGCCGCCAATGTCGTGAAAACTGTACGGACGGGATTCGTCGACGGTCGGGGCGTGCAGCGGCCATTAAGAAAAGTCGAGTTCAATAAACTTTCGTACAAAACGCTGAGTTATTGATCTTCCAGTTACGTCACGTTACCTCTTTTCCACCTGCCAGCTCGTCTATCGAACCGTACAGTTCGAACTCAAACCGCATTTCCAACACGCAAATGATCCTTAAAAAGTACCTCGAATCACGAAAAAGTCAACGAAGCCCTCCCATCGCCTCGATTTCTGCATTTTTATTCGTCGCGTGTTTCATCCGTATCGATCCGTTTCAACCAATCTGTCTTCGAAAGGACAGAAGGTGCCGGCGAAATCGCGACGAGCTTTCTTACGATCTGATCGTCAGATTTGCATTTCCCTCGGGAGTAAAAGTAAATAAAAAACGAGAAATTTACTGAATAAATAAGTAAATACCAGTTAATGATTAATTAGTTACGGGAATATTGATTGACAAACTTATAGTCCTTTGAAGGAGAAATTGAAAATTGTTACATTTTTGTTAAAAAGTTTAACATCAACCGAGATACGATTGAACTTTCCTTGGCGATGCCTATTTCTCAAATTGAACGTGTGAAATAAATTTCTATGCCATGGTTAGTTAATTTTTGAGAAAGATTTTTCATTTTCATCAAATTTTCAACGTGCAGTATGAGAACGTTCCTCGATTTCAATAACGTTGGATCTAAATTCATTTTATAGAACGTTCCGCTAGCTTTTTCGTTTCCAAGTTCAGTTGATTTTTAATATGAAATATCATGGAAAATAACGTGAATATTCAAACGCACAAGAAAATTTGCAAATGGTTCTGTACCATCGTCAAAGATAACAGATGAGTCGAGTGGATTCGATTTCGAGTGGAAACGTTTCAATTTTCATGTACATACGTCCGACGTACAAAATTGTTCGAATCATTTATTTCTCTCGGAATTCAACTGTTAGAAAATTACGTTCAGTTAGTGGTCGGGTTCGATATTAAACGAAAACGCTTATATTGAACGATATCCTCTTTATTTCGTTCATGAACTACATTAACGCAATTAGCACTTACGATATATAATTATGAATATAGTTATTCATTGATTCGAATTTACGATAAATAGTCAAATAGTTAATTAATAAAATAGTTATTAAACAAGTGGGATGGGTTATTAATTAACGGTGTCGAAATAACGATGATGCTGTCGTGAAATGGTCAGAATCGATATTTCATTCAACGACCCAATTCCTGATTTACGACCGACCAGCTGCAATGCTTCCCGATTCGATCGGGAATGATATATCTTCAATGCGATCGTTTTCTTCCTTATTAGCCGAGTCAAGCGCCGAGAAGCCGCTTCACCAGATAACCAGGGAAAGCATAAATTCCGCAAGCTGCCAGCAGTATTATCAGCACGCACACGAAGAAGCCTATTATCCTCCATTTGTAATACCGACAAACAATGTAACGGAATGCTTTCCACGGGTTCCGGAACCAGGAGAACGAAGTATCCGGTCGGCTGTAAATTAAAGGAAATCTTCCTTCGTGATTGATTCGCAGTGAAAAATGATCGTCAACGCTCTCAATCGGATTAACAAATATATACTTGACGAGTTGAAAGGCCATCGGCCATTACCGATCGCTCATTAATAATATAATGGCGCTTTAATGTATACCAAATGTGATCGAGTTTAATTACAGTCATCGAATGACGATCATTTTGTTCGAATAGCTAGCAAACGTTTTCGACTTGATCGGTTTTGCTCGTTATCGTTGCGTTATTGTTAATGAAATGTTTAGTGACCTGAGCGTGTTTATCTATATATATCTTTTTTTTGTGACACGAATACATTGTATTCATACATTCTATCTGAAAGGATTGATTAATTGAGTAAAGTAAGATCTGAAGGTTTGTCGAGCGTAAAGAGAAAAACTCATTGGAGCTGCAGTTTCTTTGGAATCGCGGAAAGATATTACAAAGAATTAAAGTTGCTTAATAATGCGACGAACGTTACAGAATACTTGCTACGGATTATCGACACCGTTACAGAAATAAATGTTCAAAGCTCAGCGAATTTACGAATCATACGTCTCGGTTTAATTTCGTCTTTCGATTCTTTTCTTTGTGTTTCGGGTGCAGCAGACTGGTTGCGGTCTAAGTGAATAACTCGATCTCCTAAAGACTGTCCGGAAATATATATTGCTGATGCTTACCGAGCCCAAATTAACTTTGCCGATTTAACGAAATAATCTGGTTACCGAGCTATTCGCAGTTATACAGATTGACGATCAAAATCGAAAATTAATCCACTTAGGTTTGATAGCCGAGCAATATCTGTATTAATTTCATTTCCGGCCAAACATGAAATTATCTTTGAAATGTTCGTTATGGCGTGGTTTTATTTTGAACCAGCCGTGGCTGTTAACTTTATATAGACGAATAAGTCATCGACTTTGTTCGATAATTCGGTAATTAAATATTTCTCTGATTTTTGCATGCTTTTATCATGATGGATACTTGATCCTTCAATGCATTTGATAATGTAATTCAATACATTCATACTGCTGTATAAAATATAAATGTATATGAATAAATGGAATATCGAGAATTAATTATTCGTATAGCGAATATACAAAATACAAGACGAGTGTTCCATATTACTCTTCTATAGTATCATGTTATGTATAAATTAGTGCATTTAAGGATTAAATATCTTTGAATAAAAATTCTTTGGTACGACGTAAAGAAAGTATATCCAATACTATTGGAAATTGATTAGAAATCGACGTCAATCTCGTACAGACATCGACTGATGTTTCGTTCAGAATTTCAACAGACAACCATCAATATACGCAATATAAGCAAGGTATCGCGAAGTTGTGCACGTGTCTCCTTTTTTTTTTCATGGATTGACATGAAGTTCTGTATATTTTAATTAATTAAGTGTCGTCATACTTTGGTGGTGGTAGATTTTGAGGTGGGTCTCTTCCTTTGCCCGCAGGTTCTTCGTCAGCCTCCTCCGCTGGCAATATTGATATTTCCAGTTCAACTTTACCCTGCAATCGATATATTACGTCATGTGCCCACTTTAGTGTTTCATGAATACTTCTAACAAAAAAAGAATAAAAAGAAAAAAAAAGAAAAAAAGTAAACGCAGACGAGAGGTCGAGGTAAATGGGTATATATTCGCGGTATACTCGTTATCGAAGCAACACATTTTCAACGAGTAACTCTAAAAGGAATCGAAAGCTTTCATTTTAATGAAAACTTTCGAACCGACTTGATACATCGCGAGCGTCGGCGTCGCGATTTTGATAGAATCAACGAGAAACGAGGGATAAATATTCGTCTTGTCCAATGTTGATAAAATGTCAGAAGTTTCGCGATACACACCGCCTGGACGTATCGACCTGCATTCACGCTACACTCGAACGGCCACCAGGCTCTAATTCGTGCCATTTTGAACATGTCGATCGTCGGCAGAGTCGGATCTAGTAACGATAAAGTGCAAGTTTTGGAATTCGGACTTCCCCGTGGCATTTTGGCTAGATCCAACGTCACCGCCCCTAGAAGTAAACAGAAATATTCATTTCGATGGTGTTGGAGCTTTAGCATGTCCTCGTGCGTATGGAACAGTGCTGGAAGGAGAAAAGAATAAATGGATAAGCGCGATGATTAATTTAAAATTCGTTTTACCGAGAAAATCGTCCGGAGAAAAATGATCGCTGTCCCAAACTTGCAAATGTAATCTGCACGGCAGTTTGTCTTCCGTTTCGCTTCGCGCGAAGAAGGTTGTCTTCCTGCGTACAATCATAACGCGCTCACTCTTGCAGTAAAGGACGCGAAATATGAATCGCCAATTAAAATTCCCCTCTCCGTTCAGAGAATTATAGTGGACGTCGGTTTTTTGATAGTCGTCGTAAAGTATCCAGCTGGAGAAGAATCGGTTGTAACGATTTACGCAAAGATTGAAAAATTAATACGAAATGTCTGAACTCTTGCATATTTCGGTACCGAAGTTACTTCAATTCGAAATAGAATTAAAATATCCATATAAATCCTCCTATCTCTTCGCGACATCATCAATTTTTCCCATCTTTCAATTCGATCGAAATAGACTTTCATCCGTTTCTTAGTAAATTTTTAATAGAATCACTGTTATAAATTTTTACAGCCTCACCCTTTCACGTAAATATCTGAACACTTTTCTCCGGTAAGGAATTGACTGTCGACGAGAGGCACGTCCTCGGTGTTCCAAACGATCACGCGAATTTCATACTCCTCTGGTACAGGCGGACTGATGTCCACTGCCGGTTTCGGAGGAAATTCGCCAAATTGAAACATGTCGATCCAAAGTTCCAACTTACCCTGGAGCATCGTCCGAGAATACAGATCGTATTTTCAGAAGAGCCAATGAATATTTAGGCAGTCGAAAAAAGTGTGCAGTTCCACGAAAGTTACGTCCCGAAACCGATATCGTCTTTCCGAGTTTTGGATCAATTCTTTCACTAGCTCCAACCATGTTTATCAAATATCGTGCTGTAGTGCTATACTACATGTGTCTGTTACTGTAAATTTCGCGTTGCTTATTACAATAGTAACTAGTTTTATCATAATGTTAAATCAAGTCATTTTATCGTCAAGTCAAATCAAAGTTATCATAATATATTAGTACAGTTTTAGAATCTGTTTAAACTGCACTATGTCAAACAAGAATTAAAAATAAATTAAAAGCGACATAAAGTTCAGTGATGAAATTCAACGTTTCACGTTTGTTTCTTAGAGAGGAAACTCTCGTGCGTCCTCGAAAGTTGGCATTTCCTTCACGAGCCAATGTTTGTCGCAGTCCTAGCGTCGATAAACTCACAGACTCGTCTCTTTTTTACAACCTGCTCTAATCCGGGTCTGGCGGTGTTAAAAAGCGGTCGCCTTTCGACGTGTTCAGGCACCAGGACGCAGCCGCAAACGGGGAACTCTTGCCATCGATGAAGCACGCTCAATGCCATACGCTCTTCCCTGTCTGAACAGAAATCATCAGTCTCTCGATGAAATGGAATTCATTTCGACGAGAAACATCTCCGACCGGATTAAACGATTAATTTTTGAAACGGACCGTCTTCCGTCTGCTGGTCGACGAATGGGAATCTTTTTCGTCCAATCTTCACGTAATGATCCTGGTACTCCGGCAACGGAAGGTTATTCCTCTTGCAAAGTTGCTCGAGTATCTGCTTCGGTTTCTCGCGGTCCCTCCACGTATTGTATCCCTCCTCGTTATAGGCCTTGGAAATGCCGCAAGTGGCGCGATGCCGGCTGTAGAATCGATTTTCCAGATCAATCTTCGTCTCCCCTATCAAATCATCGGCCGTAGTTGCGTCGTAGTCCCACACTTGTACGATCATCATGTAATCTTGAGGGAAAGTGGCTTCTATCTCGAAGAGCCTGTAAATTATTCCGCGTCAATCTCTTAACACGTTCTCCGAGCTATCGGGTGTCTTGAAACTAAATAGTGTGTCAGAGCTCTCTCACTTGATGATTTTTCAATAATCTAACGTAATGTTAGTGAATTAGAAATTGTGTTTGGCACTTTATTTAAGAATATTTCAGGTGCAATGGTTCCTCTTCCTTTTATAAATCTACGATTCTACGCTAGACAGATTAATCAAATCTGCATCTTTCAAAATTCACTCGTGAAGCTATTAATATCAGTTAGAAGACACTTTGAAAAGGCTCTCCCGAGCTCTTTAAAAAATGGAAAAGAGATGCTGTAATATCAATCATCGTGTGATAGACTTGATAGCCTTTCTCTGCAAAACTGTAAAAATCACTTTTGAGCGAGTGTTGCCAAATGAATGAAATTTCCCGCGAAAAGTGGCTGAAAGAATTATAATGTAACGTGGAAAATGCGACCGACGGCAATGTGTCAACGAAACTAATTTGCCATCGTACCGTCCGAAAGTGGGATTTAGCTGGTTCGGTATGTAATTCTTCTGGTCGTTGATGTACGTTTTTCCAAGTTTAACGCACAAATACGGGTCAGACTTTCCGGTGAGGGGGTCGCTGGGCTGCAGGTTGACACCTACGGATGAAATCGATTCGTTCTCGCGAGCTTATCACGTGACGTGTCAAAAGTTTCGCAAACCTTTCACAACGTAAAGCCTGACCAGAAGCTTGATCGGTTCCGTATGCGGATAATCGTCGCACAGGCCATTAGCCGCGTTTCTGCCGCTTCTCGTTTTGCAGGGCAAGTTACTCAAATGTGGCCAGTGATACACGCAAATGCGTCCCTGTCAATAAATTATTTTCGATTAACGAATTATATTTTACAAATAAATATTTATCAATGTTTGACAACAGTAACAAATTTGTTCAAATAATCGACAATTGTCCTTTACACGTGATCAACTTGTCTATCATTTTATGCAAGATTTCATTCATATGTTATTTTATAAAAAATAAAAATTTTTGATACAACAGGTTTAGTTATTCTGCGCGAAGTTCAAGACGTTGAACCACAGGTGACTGGAATAACTCTCTGCCTTACTATGTTAGGATCGAAGGGATATTTTAACCACTAGGTTCGAGGTAAACCTTGAACTTTCCAACGTAATTGTCGATATAGTGGTCGGGATCCTCGCTCTTCCGTCCCTTCCATAGCTCGAACGTTCTCAGACGATCCTGAAAGCCGGCGAATTGCGGCTGCATCTCCAGCTCTCCGTCGTATACCTGTTTCCCGTCCAATAAGACAGCTGAGCTGGTGAAAATACGCTAAAGCGTAGGGTACCTTGAACGTAGCCACGAGCTTCTGATCACCTGGAGAAAAGGTGCCTAGCTCTCTGCTTCTTTCCTCCTGGAAACCCCACATTTTACTTATCAAAGGTTCAAGATGATTTACATACATTGGATTAGTCGCGTGACCGACTTTTCCCCCCGTGTACATTCACCTCCAAGGAAGCGAAATATTTACTCCACCAGTCGAGGGACTCGTCCTTCTCCAACTTGTAGTCCGTTTTCTTCGTCCTCTTTCTTCTTCTTGGTATCAGACGCGCGAGAAACTTCCTTACTGCCCGAAACATCTTTCTAATCCATGTTTCTTCCTTGATCATCTTTTTGTACGGAATTAACTTCTCGTCTTCTTTCGCTGGATCGTAATCGATCGGCAAAGGCACTTGAAGATCAAATTTTTGCTTATGAACTTGTTTTGCTATTAATTTATTAAAACTTATAATTTGTAAAATTTTACATAATAATATAATTAAGTAACGTAACAATATTGTGTAAATGAAATTTGACGTGTCACTTTTTATTTGCCATAATATACTTTTATTTGTTTTGCTATTAACTTACTAAAACTTATAATTTGTAAAATTTCACAACATAATATGTTTTTTAATATAATTAAGTAACGTAACAATATCGTGGAAATGAAATTTGACGTGTCACTGTTTATTTGCCATAATATACTTTTATTTGTTTTGCCACTAACTTACTAAAATTTATAATTTGTAAAATTTCACAACATAATAATATAATTAAGTAACGTAACAGTATCGTGGAAATGAAATTTGACGTGTCACTCTTTATTGGCCATAATATACTTTTATTTGTTTTGCTATTAACTTACTAAAACTTATAATTTGTAAAATTTCACAACATAATATGTTTTTTAATATAATTAAGTAACGTAACAACATCGTGGAAATTAAATTTGACTCAGAGTGACACATCTTTGACGTGTCGCTCTTTATGTGCCATAATATAAATAAAAGAGAATTCGTGTCCAATAAATTAACAACGAATCGACGAGAACTGAAATATCGAATAACGAGCAAATTCGCTCTAATAAGTAATAACCAGACACGAGTTAATCTCGACTTTGAAGCGAATAATGCCCCCCGGTCATGGGGGCATTCTCGAGTGGTAAAAAACATTTGCTCGTAACGTATAAACATTCTACGGAACTTTAATTAACAAAGTTTTCTATTACGCGCCGTGTGGAACGAGATTTTCCGTGGCGTTATTAACCTTCGTTGAAACCGAGCGCGTTCAAATATTTAATAACTACTTGAAATATCTCTGAAATGGTCGCGCACTTCCGGTGTGAACACGGCCACGCGTGCCAACGCGGTAATTAAAGGCACGTTGATATTTCACGTAAAAAGTCGCTCGCGATCGACGTTTTTACGTTTCGGCGGACGTTACTTTCAATGGTATTTTCGCATTTTTACATTTCGTGAGAGGTGCTACTTACAAATGGCCACAGGTTGTCTTCTAGTCCACGGAGGCTTCAAAATCGATTTAGTTCCGTGTATCTGTGCGTCGTAATCCTCTTCTGTTATTAATTGTTCCAGAAAGATGTAAACGCTCGGTATTATGCAAATCCCGACGTATTTAAAGCAGCCGAATCCTCGCGAGTCATATGCTTTTATTGTGATGCAGGGGTAATAGATAACGATTTCTGGCATGTCCTTCGAGAGAATTTTCATATATCAACGCGCTTATAATGTACACCGCCGTTCAAAGTATCTGGACACTTGCTCGCATTAAATTTAGACACGAATCTACGAACTGGATCATCATGGATCATCATGGTATCAAAATAATTTTATTCTTTTATTGAAACTTATTTTTGAAGGCTAATATGCAATAGGGAAATTGATATCTGTCGAGCTATAAATAAGATAAAGAATGTTCCTCTAAATTAACCTATAAGAGGTTGTTTCACTGCGAGATTAATCTCTTATAGTTACATTTATGTACTACGTTAATACAAATCGTGTCCATATACTTATTAGCCGCAGCATGTACATTTGAATCGAAATAAACATCTTTTAGCATTAAGCAGTAATATACTTGTACGATAATAGCGAAAAGTGTTTGGAAACGTTACCAATTCGACGATGACATGAGGCTTCTTGTAGTTGCAGAATTTCTTGGCATTCTCCATTACTTCTGACTTGACTTGAACGGCAGCGCATTCTATAATAATCCGAGGATTTAGCACTGGCATGTAATTAATCTTCTTCATGTCTCGTACGCCCCAAAATATAACTTCAAGCCTGTAGCTTGTCATTTTCGGTCTGATGTCATCTGGTATATTAAAAATGACGTCCTGTATCGAAGGATCCATGACTTTGTCTACGGACGTGTCGTCCATTATCTGAAATGATATTTCATTTCACATTTAACATTTCACACGACACGCGTATGAAACATACATAGAACGATAGAATAGCCAGAAACTAAGAAGCAATGAAATATACTCAATTTATATCGAAGTGATATGCCATACTTTAATATGAACTTTTATTTTGAAGCAAATGAATATGTAGCGTGCCGATCTGGTTCTACGTATTTTCTTTTCTTTGACGTACGAGCCGATCGGTGGCTCGCTGCCTTCAACGTTAA